GATTCTCTCCTAAGAATCACTCTATTAAAGCATTACAGAACACACTTATACTATATACTCACTTTGGAGTACTTTCTGTTCTTTGTTAATTAAAAATTACCCTTTTGGCAGAATCCAACAACAAATTAAAAAGATTATTCACCACGATCAAGTGAGATTCATCCCAGGGATGCAAGGATGGTTTAACATACGCAAATCTATAAATGTGATACATCACATCAACAGAAGGAAGGAACAAAAAAAACATACGATCATTTCAATAGATGCAAAAAAGCATTAGATAAAATCCAACACCCCTTCATGATAAAAACACTTAACAAATTAGGTATAGAAGGAAGGTATCTCTGCCCCCGCAATTTTTATACTTAGTTCAAGGTGAAAGGAGGAAGAGGGGAATAAAGAAAAATTATGTATACAACTAGAAATCCTGAGATTTTATGACAGCGCCCAAGCTGGAAGCAAAGACTACTTCAGAACCATGACCGGTGCTGCTGCCTTCCTGGAATTGTGAGAGGTAAATGGGTTCTTCAACAGAAAAGTCAATCATTAGTTAGCACCTTGGAGAGAGACAAACATGGAAGTTACTTGAAAATGTACTCCAGCAAAATGAAGGAGTAAACCATGAAAGAAATACACAAAATCTAGGAAGCAGTAAGATTCAGCCCAAGGGGGCAGAGAAGGGAAATCACAGGATGATAGCTGTGCACAGGTCATAGACAACAAGAAGTCTCCCAGGAAAAAAGAGGACTTAGAAATCCTGGTGACAAATACATCCATATACATAAATACATGAATATATATCTAACAAATACAAAAAATAATGATTCAAACATAAAACAAATTAAATGTGGTATAATTTTAAACACTGACAGAAAAAAGAAAAATAAATTATTTTGCTTCATGCTATTAGCATCCTTCAAATGGCCAACATATCACATAGAATCTTGAAGAGGGACGTGTACCCCTAAACTATGAATTGCCCCAGGGTTGAACAATATTTATCCAGTCATAATAATGCAAATGCTATTTTGTGATTTTTTTTTCCTTTTTGTCTTTTTTCGTGTCCGGCAACGGAT